CAGATTTTTTTTTTTTTTTTAAAGATGACCAGTAAGGGGATCTGAACCCGTGGCCTTTGTGTTATCAGCACCACACTCTCCTGAGTGAGCCATGGGCCGGCCCTAGTTGCGGATGATTTTAACACAATTCTCCTAAGTCAAGCAAGTCAAAAATAAGCAAAGACTTAAAACATATGAATACCAACAAGGTTTAATATGTGTATGTGTTCATCAACTTTACACAAAACAGATATTTACTTTTTGAAATAATATGTGAAACATTCATGAATGTTGACCAGACACTAGCACATATACAAACACACAGACAATACATTTTCAAGGGTCAACTTCATACACACTTTATTGAATGCAATAAAATCAGAACATACTAAAAGAAATGAAAACCAACATAAATCTCAAGTGCCTGAAAATGATATAAAATTATAAGATAATTTGAGTTAAGGAAGAAACATTAAGGGAATTGAGAAATAATTATAACTGAACAACAATGTAAACATTACTTATATCAGAACCTAAAAGGAATTTTATACCTGTANTACATGTTGATTGATTAGTGCTTATTTCAGTAATGCAAAAATTGTTCAATATCAGAAATATCACTGAAATTTAGCATATTATTAGAACAAAAAGCAAAATAATACAGTTATTCCAAAATATAATGAAAAAACATTTCATGTAATTCAAAATTTATCTTAAAAATGAACAAAAAAAACAGAAATAGAAAAGTCTTTCCTTAAGCTGATTATTCAAAAGAGCAACAAATCCATAAATTACCAAATTTTTAACCTACCAAAAAATATATTTAAGACTTATACGGTAATAAGCTCTATTAAAGGATATGAATGAATGCTTGAAATAATAAAACAATGACCAATGACTTCAAATACTAAATAAGTTATTATTTTTAATTACTATATACATTTAATAAAATTCCAGTTAAAAATGTTATTGAGAATTACCAGGAGCTGATTGTGGAGGGAGGGAATTGATTACAAAGAAAGATAGGAATATATTTTGTGTTGATGGAAATATCACATTAATTTCAGGGGGCTACACAACTCTGCTTGTCAAAATACACAGAACTGCACATCTAAAGGTAATAAATAGATGGAACAAAACAGTCAGTACAGAAAGAAGCATATCTATATGGGAACTTGAGAAATGAAACAGCAAAGCCTTAAAGCAATAGGCAAAGAGAGAACGGTTTAGTACTAGCAGTGGTGGGTACAACCGACTTACTTTAAAGAGAAAAAGTATGATCTTAACAGAATTGTACGAATAGTCATCACAGATTTCCATAACAGGTTGCGAGGTAGATTATCTTTCTTAACTGACACTCCCACTGAAAGAAATTAAGAAAGGTGGTCAAATATGAAAACATACACCAATGTCGTAAGAAACTACGAGGGCCAATCTAACAGCAGATGGAACTCAGAGAGAGAGTGAGGGTCACGCCTAATCGTGTCAGGAAACCCAGTGAACTTGACCCGAGGTTGCTCAGTACAGGGTGTATGAGGGGAGGAGACAGAAACAGGTGTGGCCCAGTGTGGGCACTCAGGAATCAGAACTTCCCCCCATCAGGCTGGGACTCCAAAGGACCAGACCCCCCGTGTGAGGATAAATCAAAAACAAACTCCCTCCCCACCTCCGCCCCACACTGGAACCAAAGAGAATGTTCAGTTTCACACTTACACATATTCTTACTCAAATACAGAAAAGCAGGAGCAAAGAGAGAATCTAGAAAGTAGCCAGACATAAAAGACATATATATCTGCCAAAAAAGACAGTTACACTGACACAATTTTTAATATCAGTGATNGTGGTGTTTCAGGTAGGAAAAATAAAAGTAATCCTAGATTCAAGTTCTGAAGGAGGAATAAAGTGAAGAAAAGGATAAATACGTGAGTTAATGGAAATAAACTTGAATTATAAAAATAAAAACAGCATTTTATCAGGTTAAAATATAATGTAGATAAAATATGCAAACATTTACATATAATCCAGAGAGGAATAGAAGGAAATAAAATATTCTAGGGTCTTTCTGCTTCTGGAAGAAGGATAAACATACTCACAGACTTTAGACACTTGCAAATTAAGAACAGCGTGTAAGCCCCACGTTAACTGCTAAAAGAATAGACCCAGACAGTCCAGCTTCCAAGTTCA